CTGGGGGGAATTTGGGGGATTTAGGGGAGATTCGGGGGGTCCTGGGGGGATGGGGGGGGGATTTGGGGGGGTCCTGAGGGGATTTAGAGAAGATTTGGGGGGAATTTGGGGGATTTATGGGGAATTTGAATGGTTTTGAGGAGGTTTAGGGGGGATTTTGGGGGATTTTGAGAAGGTTTTGGGGTTCATTAAGACCCATAGACCAAAATTTAAGAAATTGGGGTCTGGGACTCTTCCACAAACGCTCCAAAACCCCTTAAAATTTCCCCAAAATCCCCTAAAATTTCCCCAAAACCCCCCAAAATTTCCCCGAAAAAGATCTGCAGGTGAAATCGGAGCCGGACTCGCCGACCTCCTCCCACTGCTCCGACTCCTCCTGCGCCTCCGAGCCCCCGATTTGGGTACGAGACCCCCCAAAAAACCCCCCCAAAAACACCAAAACCCCCCAAAATTTCCCCGAAAAAGATCTGCAGGTGAAATCGGAGCCGGACTCGCCGACCTCCTCCCACTGCTCCGACTCCTCCTGCGCCTCCGAGCCCCCGATTTGGGTACGAGACCCCCCCAAAAAACCCCAAAAAAACCCCAAAAACCCCAAAAATCCCCAAAATCCCCCCAAAACCCTCTGGGCTCTGTCCCCACAGGCCCCCAGCCCCCCCGAGATGGGGGTGAAGCCGGAGCCCCCTCCCCCCCTGCCCTGCGCCCCCCAGGAGCTCGGTGAGGGGGGAATTGGGGGTGGGGGGAGGGGGTGGGGGTGTTAATTTGGCTGGAATGGGTCCCAAAATTTGGCCAAAAGTGCCCGAAATCAGCCCAAAATTCTTGTCAAAATCTGCCCAAAATTGGCCAAAAGACGTCCCCAAAATCTGCTAAAAATCCACCCAAAGTCCACCCCAAATCCCCCCAAAATCTGCCCAAATTCCCCCAAAATCTGCTAAAAATCCACCCCAAATCCCCCCAAAATCTGCCCAAATTCCCCCAAAATCTGCTAAAAATCCACCCAAAATCCTCCCCAAAATCAGCCCAAAATTAGGTCAAAATCTGTCAAATATTGGCTCGAAATTTGCTTGAAAGCTGCCCAGAATCTGCACAAAATCTGCCCAAAAACACCCCAAAATCCTCCCCAAAAACTGCCCAAAAATCTCATCAAAATCCTCCCAAAATCCTCCCCAAAATCTGCCCAAAATGCACCCAAAAATCCTCTCCTAAATCTCCCCCAAATC